CACCTCCAGGGGCAAGATATTCCAAAGAGCGGGGGCTATAGCAGAGAAGGCCCGCTTTCTGGACCCCGCTAGTCGGAGGTCTTTTACCAAGGGGGTCTGGAGTATGCATTTTCTGTGTGATCAGGTTGAAATCATGGGGAAGAGGCGGTCCCTCAGGTAACCTGGTCCCATGCCATGTAGGGCTTTAAAGGTGATAACTAACACCTTGAATTGGACCTGGAAGCAAACTGGCACCCAATGCAGCTCGCAGAGCAACAGTGTTATATGGGTCCTTCTTGGGGCTACAAAAATAGCCCACAAGGCTACATTCTGGACCAGCTGTAGCTTCTGGATACTTTTCAAGGGTAGCCCCATGTAGAGAGCACTGCAGTAGTCTATCTGGGAGATAACAAGGGCATGAGTGACTGTTCGGAGGACTGTTTGAACAATCACTGAACAAGTGGTCATAAGTCAAGGGGTACCTGTACCTGTAACTTACACAGTTATATGTACAATTAAAACTTTGAAATCTTTAGCATAATTTATCAGAGAAACAACTTATGTCAAGCATTTTGTAAAAACAAAAACCTATTTAATTTTATAAATTTTACAAATGTTATATTTTAATATCACTCAAATTGGTTTACAAATCTTATTCAGAAAAGATTAAAATACTTAGTCACTAGTTGCAATGTCAAAATAGCCACTCATACCAAGCAAAAAATAATCCAAGAAGAACAAGTTTCTAGATAATTATTGATCATTATAGGAGCTAGAAGGCTGTTGAGACCTGTTCAAACTTTATCCTTGCACTATCATGGAATCATTGAGTTTGATGGAATCTGAGGTCATCAAGTTTAATCCCCGCCCAACCCCCCCCCCCCAACTAAAACCTCTGTCTGAAGATCTCCAGTGAAAGGTACTCTTTGTCTAGCAAGGTTTATCTAGAATTAAGCTAATGAGCCTAAAGTGATGCAAGCTAGGAAAACTAAGAAATAAAAAAAAATCTGGGACAAAGGTCAATCATTTAAAAGAGAACAGTAAGCTGCTATCTAATATTTAGGCTACTAAAAGTCCATTGTGTATTCATTTTGGGATGATAAAATAGCTTCATAGTTACATTCTGGACAGTTATCATTCCAGTGTTTATGCTTATCCACAAATCTCACAACAGTCCTTACTCTTTTTATTTCTTCCTATCTTAATTTGAACTTACTATATTTTCTTCAGGTATACTTTATTTAATTAAAATAGATTATATGGCACTTTTTTGATCAACAACATTCAAGGCAGCCTACAAATTAAAACAAGATAGAAAAATGCAAAACGCAAAGATAAAAAGAAGAAATTAAAGTTTGAATAACGAAATGGAATTCTAATGGCTTGGCAAACAGGACAAGTCTTTATAGTAGTCTTCCACGTGTATGCATATGTGTGTACACGTGTGTGTGTGTGTGTGTGAGAGAGAGAGAGAACATTTTAGAGAAAATATCAAAATGGGAAGGGAAAATGAACAAAAGAAAAATAAAAAGATCAGATGTAAATGAATAAACAATGGATTTACCAATATCATAGAAACTATAATTTTCTAGTATAACAACATTAAGCTTCCAAGGGAATGAATGTCATAACCTGGGAAGCAGAAGGTCCTCTTCTGGGTACCTGCTTTGAGAATGGAGGCACCTTCAACATATACAGAAATGGGAAGCAATAATGAACATGCACATATCATGTGAGTAGGCAGACACAGAGTGAAACTGAAGAGCCCAACTGAAATGTCTATCTTCCTTCCACCTGAGGATATACTTGTGCCTATTCTTTTCTTCTAAATGCTATCCATGTTAGCCAGAGCCATCCACTTGGAGAGAATAGGAATGAAGGGTTACAATACCTCTGGGAAAGGCAGAAGTGGCTACTCTGGTGTTTAGTGCAAGAATATGTTGTTCCATAGCATATAAAACAAATGTAGCTCAAAAACTGATAACCTTATGAGTAAAACACTCTATATTTCAGGAGAACGTTTTATGAAGAAACCAGTTAAGAGATCCCAGAAAGAATGTTTCTTGTTTCAGACAAGCTTCATTTCCTTCTTAGTTTGAACTCTTGTGCTTCTGAAGTTATTATTGCCTCAGTGCTGTAATAAGGCAATGGTCTCATGGTGAGCAAAAAGACTGTTCATAAAGCAAGAAAAACTAATTTGTTCTGCCAAACAAGACAAAAAGATGCTGTATACCATTCACATGAGGTTCTTTAAAAAAAAAAAAAGAATACCATTTACCAACAAAAAAGCAAAATTTGGTACTACTGATCCATATATTCAAGTGAGCCAATTTATGGCTACTCTGTAAATATAATTTCACATTCAGTGCAGTGCAAAGGAAAATAAAATCTTACCTTAAACAAACAACGACAGACATATTCATATACCAAGTGTTTCAATGAGCCGATAAGAGATTTTATTCTTTCCTCAGTATTTCCCAAATCCTGAAAAAGAATGTTCAAATTTTTAAAAATATTAAGTAATACTTTATGGATCAAAAATACTTAAATACAACGTTAAGATTGAACAGCTTTATTGGAATGCATATTCATTTCAAAGAATGGGTTTTATCTACAATCAACAATTTAATTCAAAGTAGTAATCTAAATATAACTGCAGCGTGGACACTAAAAGAAATCTGAGCCTGAGAGACAGTCTACTGTGTATAGTTGTCTTGCAGATGAATATTAGCCTTTCAAATGTTGTAATAAGAAGCATTACAATGTAATATCAGAAAGCTTTATTTTAACTCCTTTAAATATAGTCTGAGGTAGCTACCCAGCTTAAAAACTTTTTTCTGTTTACAAATCTTAATTACTTATTTAATTATTTATTGATTTTTAATTATTTATATTTTTATATTGTATATTATATATTATATTGTTATTTAATTATAAATAATTAATTGTTTAATTATGCTAATTCACTTGACCCATGAGGAGAAAAAACATTCAAGGAAAAACAGGATCTTCTATGCCACAAATTAGAATCTCAAATTGAGTACCCCTTAATCTTAAAGTGACACCTCCCTCTAGTACACTTGAGAGAATAAATTCTTCTCTCAAGGGAGGAATTACCCTACCTTCTCAGGCTGATAACTGACCTTACCCATGTTTAGAAGAAACAAGGCAGTTATATACCATCATATATAAGCACTAAACTGAGTAACTTAACATTAAAAAAAGGTAGTAGGATTGTCAAGAAGCCTGTTTATATCCATCAGGAGTCACCAGGAGTCAAGCTCAATTAGGAGACATTTCTATTTTTAAACCAGGAATTTCTCCCTACTGTTCCAAAACTAGCAGAACCCAGGATCTATACCTCCCAAATGGAGGTTTAATTAATTGCTTATTAATTAAATTAATTAATTGTGGAATTAGTTACTTTCACAAGAATCAGAAGTTCACTATAAGAAAGGTTTTGTTCGAAAGGCACACAGAGGGCATTCCCTGATTACAAAATGGATTTGTATTCTAAGGTACTAGTGCCTTATACAAAATTTTACATTCAAGAGGTATTTGAAGAGGAAGAAGCATCTATTTTATAATGTATCGCAAATGTGTGAATGAAGGCCCATATACTACAATGGTTATAGTAGCATGAGGCGACACGGTGACATCAACTGTATCATACATTGTGATGCAAGCTCCATCCCTTTTCTGTGTGCATTGCCATGTGACCTACCTGCCCCAAAGGGTGGGACTTGTGATGCAACACTGTGATGCTGGTTTCATCCCTCTGATTTAGCAGTGAGATCCAGATGTTGCTGTATTGCTATATCTAGAACTGGAAATCTGCTTTTTAAAACTATTGCTGCGTTCTTGGGAAATGTGATGTGTTCTCCCTTCCCCACTGATTATTTCTTTCCTAATGTTTCAGAGGCTAATGCTATATACTTACTTCTTCAGTGCCTGGAAATGGCAAACTTTGATAATGTACCTTCAAGTGACTGAAACAGAGAAGAAATAACTACAAATTCAAATCCCTTTGCTCTGCTATTCTGTCTACGCAGAACCATAAGGGTCATCACACTTCCAACTGTTTCTTTGGATCAACTGAACTGGAGAAACATGATAAACCCTCCTATGGTCTGTGGAATGGGAATTAATTTTTAGGCCCAAAGGAACATTAATCCCATCTCACCTTCAGGAATACACATAACTGAGGATTTGAAAACTGTGCTTCAAATCTGAAAATAATTGTACTGGTCATTAAGTGAAAAAGCTCTGTTGGCAATGGGATACTGACCCTAAGAGTAAAGTGTCCCTCCTGCTGGCCAGCCAGTCTGATTCATATATTGAAACAGTAAGCAGCTACCCACATTATGGATATCTTAGTGGGGAACTATCCGCAACTTTGACTGATTTTTTCCCCCTTAATCTTGTGGTCGAATTGAGAAACAGTGAATTGGAGGAAACGCATACAGTAGCTCAGTCTAGCTCAACCAATTTTCCTTTGGTTTGGAAATCCCTGTAAAATGTTCTATCTAATCACTCGGAAGTTCCAGTCAATTTAGCATTTCCTTTGGGAGTTTGTTCAGAGAAGATAATTGCTTATACCCTAGTGTTAGATAGAAATCTATATGGATTTGCTTTTCCAAATCAATAGAAGAAATATTCTAATCATTCATCCAACCATACTTCTTTAGCAAACAAAAGAGAAGTAAGAATGGTCTGTTTGATACCAATGGCATTCTTCATCATTACCTGATCAGTACCCAACTATCAGGTGAAATGTGGGTGTATTTTTGATATTCTGAAAAAAAAAAAGTTTGATTTATAATTCTCCTTCTTAGCCATTGAAAATCACTTTTCTTTTGCAGCCTGCTAAATGATTGCTAATTTGGCTCTTCTGAAAGTGGTATCTGCCAATTTGTATTATGATTCTGAGTTTGCATCTCAGAATGTTGCACCAGATGTATCTTCTTACCAGAGGATTTGTACTTTGTCTCTAGCATTGAACAGAAGAGCATCTAGAGAAGACTCTGCTATCAAGGTTGCTGAGAAAACAATATTTTTCAAGGTATTCTTAGACAATTTATGTGTGAAATTAGGTAGAAAGCTTGGGAAAAAGATTACACCTGTGGTAAAATCTCTATAGACTACAGCTGAGATTTCAAATCCTTACACACATTTGCCTCCATCCATTTATCACTTGTGACCTTGGGACTATCTTTTGCACCAGTTCAGATTATCATGATAGAGAGGGCTGTCATTAAAGTATCAACAGAGATTTGAGCATTTCTGTACCTTAGAAGAATACAGAATTCTTTGACTAATTCATATACTTGCTTTGTGTTAAATTGGCCCAAAGTTACACACCCTTACAAAAGATTCTGGGATTGAAAATCCATATGATGAGTAAGCTTTTAATGTGAGGGCCACTGTTAATTTTTTAGAGGAGTCTAAGAGCAATGGTGAGAGGGATGATGATACAAATGAACAATGTTGAGGATTTTTTTCTTGCTGTTTTTAAAATAAATTTTCAGGTCTTTCTTTGTTTTCCAACCTATATTTAGTTCATTTTAGGACTTGTGCTGATGTTTTCATGTGTTTCCTGCTGAAAACTACCGAAAACATGACCACCAGTTTCAATAATTATAGCCAGAGGAAGCTGTGGTATCTTTAAAATATGGGCTTAGGAGTGCATGTGGCCTTCAGGCTGCAGACTACCTGCCTCTAATTTAAAAACAAATAGATAAACAAAAACTCTATAAAAAGACTGAGTTTTCTTCCTTCAGTAAGAATTTCAGCTTTTTCATCCTTTTGGGGTATCTCTTTAGGAAAGGGGATTAGGTGGCACATCTTTCCTAACATAGCTAGAAAGGAAAAATGGTAAAAATAAAAGAACTTCTTTGGCTGACAGAACCTTCTCTTCCTTAGAGTTTTCCTTCTTTATCGCATATTTCTGAAAGAGAGATTTAAAGTTTTCTCCCCCCCCCCACACCCTTCCATTACGCTTTATGTGAAATGCTGTGATCTGCCCAGACCCAATTCTGTTGATGGGACTTTTTGAAACCACCGTCTCCTACTTTGGGTCCGAAGCTGTATGGGTTTTATACTTCTCCCTAGGATGGTAAAGAGGCCAACAGAAGCATAACTGCAGGATGTAAAGAAAATGGAGAGTAAACATAGGGCCAAGAAATAACAGGAATTGGACTCACAAGAATACTAGTTTAGGTAATATTTACAGCTCATTCGACCAGGAAGGGCAAGGTGATTGCTCCCATTTAAATGAAACAACTAATCCTGCCAGATAGAGGGGCCATTCCAAGGTCAAAGAACATCCCATGTGACCTTCTGGAGAATGATGACTTTTGGTACTCTGCTTTCCTGAAAATGGGGAGCAGATCTGTCTTTAAAATAATTAAAGGTCAGTGATTTCAGGGTAATTTGAAATCTAGTTTTAATTATCTTTTATTAAGATTTTATGGAATTATGTACTGCCTTCTTCTATATTCCCTCTTTACAATAGTAACTTTTTCCCCACTATTTACTTCTTTAGAAGTAAAACAGATTTCTGTCATACCTCTCCCAGGCAATTTAATATTGATTAGTGAACCAAGGTATTATGATTGTGGAGGCATAAGTATCACCTTGTTGTAGATCTCCAAACATTTCTTCACTCTAAAACCAATAGCAGAGATAGCCTATAACCCAATCCCAATTACCAATAGAAGTGAATATGTGTAGCTCAGGGTTGAACTGTGGAGTCCTTGGGGTTCTCTGAGCTTGGCTGTTTTCTTGCAAACCAATCTCAATTCCAAGCTTTCATGAATACTCTCATAAAAATAAAGGCTTTTTTTTAATATCAAGAACTATTTATAGTTATTGATATAACTATAAATTCTTATATCAGTAACTGATATAAAATCTTCCTTATTTTGACACATTTAAAAAGTGCTTAACTTGAAAATTAAGAAATAAGTGAAGAACCTGTATTTACATAAATGGCATCTCATTTGCCTTTTCTTGACTATGGAACTATGCATTCTTTAGCCCAGGAAAGATTATAATGTTTTATTTAGGACTTCTGTCAGGTAATTATCTACAAATTTATAACAAAGTTCCTTCACATATACTGATTAAGGTGCAATATTCTCAGTATCAATGGTGTGCAATCACTAATGGAAGGAGTTCCCTTATTTCTTTTCTTTAAATTTTATTTCAGCCAGCCTTATTTCTAGTACTTGAGGCAAAAAAGTTAAATGCAGTAAGCATGTGTATATGTGCAGACAGATAGTCAGACAGACAGACACACACACTCATACACACACATTCTAAAAAATAAATAATACATTATCTGCTTTGAACTATTGGCACATACCAGTTCACTATGTAGAGCCCTTTGAAAAAGTCTTAGGAAAGATGCCAAACTAAAACGATACATGTTATTAATTTTGGACAAGTCAGAAATAATAAAGTACATCTTGCTGCCACTTTCAGCCAGAGTGAGATATGCATCCCTTTCCTGAGAATAAAAAAGATTAAATGTTAGAGCTCTATTGCCACCTACTGGAGATGTATACAGAAAATGAAATTACAAATACAAATAATATACAACAATTCAATAGAATGGAAGGCACTTTATCAATGTCTACATACACTCATACGCACACAAGACAAAGTGAAATATTTATGCTTTGTTAGTCAGCCAATATTAGCCAAATGGGCATACATGTTTCCCCCAATGTTGTCTATAGTATCCCAGGTGTTGGGGCGGGGAGAGGTGAGGGGATGCACAGGGAATCGATTATATTTCTACATCATGTGCAATGGCCAATATTGGCTACAATCCCCCATGGATAAAAAGACAGCAAGACAGACACACAGACAGGTACATATGAGTCCTAGTAACTAGTATCTGTAACAGATCACCTCTTGGTTGGACTACTATAATGTGCTCTATGTGCAGCCACCTTTGAAAACAACCTGGAAGGGCAGCTAGTACAAAACTGCAGCAGCTAAATTGCTGGCAGGACACCCCTGCCCATGTAGAATAATACTTCATTTAAAGTTCCTACACTGATTACTAGTAGGCTTCTGGGCCCAAATCAAAGTACTAGTCATTACCTTCAGTGCCCTACTCAGTGCAGCACTGGGATATATCAGGCAACACCCTGCCTAAACTGAATCTGCCCATCTGGTCCAGATATCTAGAGAGGGGTTGCTGACAGTCCTTACCTCCCGAGAGGTGCATGGGGTATGGAAAAGTTGGGTGTGGAAAAACCTTTTCTACGGTAGTCCCAACCTGTTGGAACTTTTTCCCATTGGTGGTATGCACAGCCCTAAACCTCCTTGAATTTTGTAAGTATGTTGGAACAGTCCTATTCCATTATCCCTTGATCCTGAGCTGTCAATGTCATGACAGGTTATCATATGAAATTGTACTAGTTTATTTAGATATACAGTACTTTGCTTATATAATGTTTATTTCTTTCTGCTGTTCACCACCAGACTCTTTTGGGATTGAGATGGGCTATAAATTTTGTTAAATAGTCATGATGCAAATGCTGGCATTATGTGTACAACTGCCTCAACAACTGCACAAGTATTTAAATCACGGCATTTGCACGATGATATTATCACACACATTATTTGCCCCTTCCCATAGGTTCTTGTTCTAATAATGTTTCATAAAGTTTCCAGACTTAAAATATAACTGCTTAACAACCAGTTAAGCAACCAGGAAAGAAAACAGATGGGAATGCATAACACGGGTATGAACTGGTAATTCAGTGTTGGGCTATTTATGGCAAACCACTTTAAATTCCAAATAGCTTCAAATGCCATCTGTGATTTGGCATATGGGTTTATTTTCTACAGTAACCAAGTCTAAAATATAACTAGAAGTACCCCAAACCCTCAGAGAAACTTTGCACTGCTCTTGCTGGTTTTGTATTCAGCAATTATTTGTGTATTAATCTACTGTACTTTCACTGTACTCTGAAATTTCAGAACTAAATCATTTCAGTGCAAGAACTATAGAAAAAGTACTTTTAAGATCTATTCCCACATTCCCATTAACCTGCAGGTTCCTACTGTGATGAAACAGTAGATAAGTTGTATTACACTGGACCAAGTAAAGGCTTAATTGATCACTTCCTGATAGGAAATACAGTGAGACAGGTGTAAAGAGAAAAATAGGCATTTGACAGTTGGGCAAAATAAAAACAGAGAAAGAAAAAGGTGATACTTATATATAAAAGGAAAAAAGAGACATTGATACCTTTGTGACAAATTAATCATTTTTTATATAAGCATAAATGAAGAACTTTCTTGATATAATTCTTTAAAGCGAAATAACTTACATCCTATGCTAAGTGTTCCTAGCAGGTTAGCAAAGTTTTAATTGTTTATAATAATTGTTCACACTATTGTAAGAAATGCCAAGTGCAACATCAAGAAAGGAGATAATACTATTAATGGTTCCCTTGTCCCCTTGCAGATGTCACAACCAAGTCACAGTCAGCAAGGAGAATCATATATATCTTGGATTTGTGATAAAAATGGGACAATGGATTATTTTGTTTGATAAAGATGAGGGAAGTAGAATAAAAAGACAATTGATAAGATGGATGGACAGAATCAAAAGGATTATTAGAATCAACACAAGTTATTATTACAGAGAAGTAGATATAGTGAGTGTCACCAAGAATCAAGCTTGACTTGATAGCTCTTAACTAAATTTCAACCAAGATTAGATACACCATCAAGATGGATTAATCATGTTGGACCTCTATCCAACTTGAAAGCACTTATATTCTATGCTGCTGTAAGATATGCCTATTTTCATATCAGAGTCTTATTTGGATTATTATAGGATGGACAAGAACCATCCACTACTTCTCATTTTCCTTATTTGGGAATAATATTGGAAAAAAAGACAATAGTTTGAGGTTTTACTCTGATATGAGAAATAGAAACAGAAATACTTAATACAAGACACTGCAGGCATGTGTATCTAGAACAGAAAATTTTCCTAACTTTCCCACCTTGGAGGATATTAGTTTCCTGTTGCAGCAGATATGGCACCTGCTTACTGTAGATGTCTTGACCCAACTATATGTTTTAGTCTATTGTCCTTAGGTCTTTTTTACCTACTAAAGCTTATTGCTAATCTAATTAAGCAGAAACTATGCTCTGAAAGATAATTTAGCCGGAGTTTTTTTTACTCACAGATGTTTGTGATAGGTTCTTCCAATTACTATATGTCATTTGATATGTGAGGGAAGCTAATCAGAATACCGTTATCCTTTAAACTGCCTTTCAAATCTCCAGATATATACCAAATGTAATAAAAAAGAAGAAGACATGTTCCTCTGGAGCGGAACTTCAGTTACAGTATATTACCTCCCTCATCACTGAAAGTTATTAAGAAAACAGAGAACATAGAAACTGTTCGGTTCTATATGGGATCTAATGAGTCATCTTGCAACATTTTCTCCACTGAAATCACCATAACTTAGAAGTGCCTATTTTTGGATGTGTCATACAAATATAAGGCATTATTCTAAAATAGACTTTATTTTATGTTTTTCATTGTGAAATAACAAAATAATATCTTTACTGATGTTATGTGTTTCCAGAATAAGAGATAAAACTACTTAGGATGAAAATAACCTCAGGAGACCACAGAAGACATACTAGCAGACTACACAATCCAGTTCTGGGATTAATTAATCCATTGGGAGCTACAATAAAACATGTTGCTTAACAAATATATCTTCTAATAAAGCAAACTAAAGAAACCCCAATTACCTACCTGATCAAGGGAAATCTGAAGTCTATGAAACTCAACAAGTGATTCTTGGATGAGGGCACTACTTGCTTTAGTTTGATTTAAAGATTCAATCAGATCCTTATTTTCAAGTATATTTCCCTTACAAGTTGCAAGAGTCTGCAGGAAAAAAATGTTCAGATTTCTTTTAATTGTTTGTAATACTTTAAATCTTGGAAAAATAACAACGTTATTCAAATCCACATTGTGTGAATGTGGTTGGTTAATACATCATATCTTTCAAATGCTCCAGATTCCTTAACCAGGGATTAGTGGTGAAATATTAGAGTGTATACTAAATGCAAGAATTCTTCCTGCTATCTTCCAAAATTCAGCATTGCATGTGTCTATCTTAAAACAACATTGGTTATATTTCTGAATTTATGTTAATCCTAGGCATTCTACTACTTTCTCATGAGTCCTGGCTTGAAATTAATGAAAGAACCCAAGAAGCTCACAGTATCTACAGAGTTTTTAAAATATCATGCTATGTAATCATTTCAATCAACCAGGCCATTTTTAAAAGTCATCATATATAGAATGTCTTGTTTATGTGGAATGTCTTGGCCATGAGATATGCCAAAGAAATTTTACATACCCCTATAGCAAGATGGTGAGTGCATGCACAACATGGCTTTTGGAATTCATCTAGCCTCTTTATAGGCAGTAGCTATACTGTATGTTCAGGTGCAGTGTGGAAACACAGGACTGGCCGTGTGCTCTGCTCTAGTTCATTTGACTGGGAAGGAAGAGGGAAGAGGGCTTAGAATGGTGCAGTCACCAGCATTCCAAACCACTTCCCAACTGCCTCTCCCATAGGGTTGCATTGTGGGAATTTGGGAATATTTTTTTTCTTCACATCCCTATCCAGATCCAGCCTAATTTTGAACTTGATCTTTGTTTTGCCAATTTCTTCTCACACCAAATTTGGTCCTATTCTGTTAAGTTTCCAGAGACTTATCCTATTGACAGACAAATTGTGACACTTATTTACATAATTTCTTTCCAATACTTTGCTGGCTTGGAAAGAATAATAAAGTACCGCTTTTCATCTTGCAGAGTTTAAAATGCATTTACAACTGTAGCAGTTACAAAAGAATTTACTGCAGAATGAAAAAATATTAGAACCTTTAAAAGTGTTTCCCATTCCAATTACTTTTTCAAAGAATAATTTTCAAGTACAACAGCACTTCATCCTAAAAGCTGATGATTGCTAGATTTTGCTTCTCAAACTAATAATAGTATAATCTCAAGCATTTAAATATTTTCACATAGTAAAAAAAAAAATTTACAGTACTTTTTCACATAAAATGTCAGGGCTGTTTAAACCCTTTGAAATAGTTATTTCAAAATGTGCAGGACTGTATACAAACTACTTTTTAAAAAAAATTGTTACAGCAGTTGTGTCTTTCTAGGTTCATACAATTTCTTGGAAGTTACCTTCAGCTGTTTTCACATGTCTGTGCATGCAGCCAATTCACTTTGCTGGGAAAAAAGGAAGTGAGATGGCTCTGCACACATGTAAAAGTAGTTGGGAGTAGTTTCCAAATCAGCTACACAGGCCTAGAAAGTCATAGCTGTTTTAATGAATGGTATGTATCCTCTCTGATGCGAAGAGATTTCAAGCTTGGGTGAATATACCTCTGGGAAGTAAATTGGAAGAGGAGAACCCTTTCCTGAATCCTCAGAAAAATGGGAGGACACCAACTGATGAGGTCATATTTATGCCTTGGTGGGATTTTCAGAAAAGGAGAAAATTCCTTGATTCTTTCACAAGTACAGCACTAATCTGAAGTATCCAGAAAAAAAAATCAGGAAGTTCAGAGACTACTGCAGTTTTAATCTGCTCAGTAACAACCAGTCTACCAGTGGATGAGGTATCTCAGAAAAACTGCAAACCACTCCTGGATGGCTCTTTGCAATAAACAAGTTACATAAAAACGTTCATATGAGATAGAGGTCTGTTACCTCCAAAAGGGATTCTTCAAGTTTTGCCAGCTGTATTTTCTTTTCTTCTTCTTGCTGTAATAATTTTGTCTTTTGTTCTTCCAAATCTGGCTTTTCATGTTGGATAGTCAAAGCTAAAAGCTGGAAGGGCAAGATATTTTTGAGAAGACAGAAGAGTACATAAGCATTGGGTTTTTTAAATTATTTATTTATTTATTAAATTTTTCACCCACCCATCTCCCCCCAATGGGGGAACTCTGGGCGACTCACAACAAACATTAAAAACATAAATATATATAAATATATAAAACATC